CCCCAACCCCCTGATGGGCCCTGCTCTGTGCGTGACAGGGGGCAGTGCCCCAACCCCCTGATTGGCCCTGCTCTGTGCGTGACAGGGGGTGGCGCCACAACCTCCCCATTGACCCTGCCTTGAGTGTGACAGGGGGCGGTGCCCCAACCCCCCAATCAGCCCCACCCTGAGCGTGACTGAGGGTGGCATCCTAACCTCCCAATCCGCCCTGCTCTATGCATGACGGGGCGGCACCCCAACTCCCCAATCAGCCCTGCTCTGAGCCCGACCAGGGGCTGCACCTAGGATTGGGCCTGCCATCTGCCACCCAGGAGCAGGCCTAAGCCAGCAGGTCATTTTCTCCTGAGGGGTCCCAGACTGCAAGAGGGCACAGGCTGGGCTGAGGGACCCCTCTCCCCCCCTGAGTGCACAAATTTTTGTGCACCGGGCCTCTAGTCTTATATAATAAAAGCCTAATATGCAAATCTACTGAACAGGGGAACAAATGGTGAAATGACTGGTTGCTATGACATGCACTAACCATCAGGGGGCAGATGCTCAACGCAGGAGCTTCCCCCAGCCCGCAGGCCCCAGGCTAGCCAAGGTGGGTGCCAGCGCCCACCCCCTCCAACCCCGATCACCCCACTGGTTGACCTGCAGAGGGAGGTGACTGGCACTGGCAGCAGAGGGCAGGGCTGGCGAATGGGTGGCACCAGGGAAGCCAAGGCAGGGCCCCGCCAGTCAACCCAAAGATCGGCCCTGATCCCCTGCCAGGCCTAGGGACCCTATCCACACATGAATTTCGTGCACCGGGCCTCTAGTAGGATATAACAGAGCCCTAGCTCTCCCATTTCAAGAGCATCTGAGCTGGGATGGGGGAAGTCACCCATCATGTGAGGATACACAGTTGATTGCCGTCCAACTTCAGGACACAAAACTTCATGACAGAGAATGTGCATTTGTCCTGTCCTAGTTCACATGGAGGGAGGCCATGATGTCCCCCTAATAGATGAGCTAAGTGACTAGGGTGATTTCCAGACTAGCAGAAGGTTCACCAAGAAAACAGAAGCCCTCTAGGAATTGCAGGCAGGATTCTGGGAGTTACTGCAGGGAATCAGTGTTTCTAAACCACTGGAAGGTTTAGAGGTAGGAGGGTCTCAGCTTGCCTGCATTTTCCATCAGAACATCTTAAATCCCTGCTTCTGCCCAAGTCAGGAACTGAAGAAAACATCTGAGCATCACAGCTATTAAATGAATGGTGTAGACATTTACAGACTGGGGTACAAGTTTATTGGTGAATGCAGATGACTTTAATTGCACACATTTTGTTCATTTAATTCAACCACCTTAATTATTGCACATTTTCTGTGAGATAATTTATATTAATTTATAAATTAATTTATAATTTATAGCATATATTACTCACATTATAAGTGAAAACACTGATTGTTAGAGAGTTTGGATACTTGGCTTAAGGTGGTGCAGCTAACAAATATCAGAATTGGGACACAGACATGGATGATATTGACTTCCACCTATCCTTTAAATCACCCCACCCTTCTGCATTTGGCAGAGAGAGGCATCTTCAAAATGGGAACCTTGACCCAAAGGTCCCTTTCAGAACTGCGGGCTCTAACACAAATCATTTGCATAACAGCTTTCACTGTTAAGGAAAGAGATCCAGCTTCCTGGACCTGTCTGTTCATATTCTGACCTGCCTTGGGATGGTGACTCAGAAACTATTTGTCTGAGTTTTTACATTTGTAAACTGGGGCAAATAATGCACAAGCAAATACAACAAATTGCTTAATGAAAATATAGGCTCAAGTCCTCTTTGTTCTCTATAAACACTGTGACCGATCTCTAGTCTAGAACAATTATTTACTATGTGCAGTTCTGGGATCAAAGGCAGCCATGGGTTACTTTATCTGACTCATCTATGGTTCAGATAGACACTCCTCTGAAATGCAAATACTGTCATCTGATAATTTATTGGGTGAAATCAAGGTGCCTCTTAAGAGAAAATTAAATAGGACACAGGACAGCACTTCCTTTTGATGCTAAGTCTGATGTACAAGAAGGTGTGGTGCTTCCAGAAAGTTGTGGCTTCAGAGTGATTGGTGATCACACAGAAGAGCTGATGGAAGGGACAGTTTTGTGTGAAGAGAAACCATTATAGTGGAGCTTCTAGTGCCATCCATCCCATCCCACCTCTGGTATCAGCCTCAGCTGCAGTGAACAATTACATGCAAGTTTATGTGCATTTACCTGGTTCTGACAGCATTTACCCCCTCACTTGCAGGCTGGGAGCCCCCCTGCTTTCTGCTCTGGCCTCCTCTCTATAATGGAAGCCCACGTGGCCTGTACCCCAGGGCAGTCAGAGCTGCAGAAGTGCTAATGCTCCTGGAAGGAAAGGAGCCAGGGATGAAAGCTCAGCCTCTGTATCCAGGAGGACAGCCCAGGAGGTGGTCTGTGTGCTTCTCTGCAGGTTCCAACAAAATCCATCTCCTGATGTCCCTGCACAACCGCAATATTGCACCTGATTCTGATTTTCTCCTTCCATGACCTTTTCTCCCTGCTCTCTTTCTCCTGCTTCCTGAGATCATTTTTAAATAAACAACTTGCACCTAAATTCTCATCTCAGACTGTGCCTCCAGGGGCAGCCTATATGGTGACAGCGATGGAAGGAAGTGACCATCAAAGGACCCATCCCTTTACAAGAGACTGTCATTTTTGTTTCATTCATTCTGCCATCTAATCATTCAAAAAGTCTTATAATAGCAAGTATAAATGAAAATTTCCCAGTTCGCTTTGTCTTATTTTGAATTTCCAGCAGCCTCACATGTGTCTCTGCTCCCTTCAAGCTCTGAACCTATTTGTAACTGGCTAGACTGGGTTATATTTACAGAAGTGGAGTCTGCCTGGACTCCGATAACCATTCATTCCTTTCATTCAACAAACACTAATTGAATACACGTACAGAGTAGTTTGGACTTGGTGGGGATGTATGCTTATAAAATTCTATGGTGCTTTTCTAAAAAGAAAATAGGAAAATATTTAGAAGTCTTGAACAGTTTCCATGCAAATGAGAAGGCCTGAAATTATTCTTCATTGTCTCCATGGCCCATCCAGCCTTCACTATTTACCATGTACAGGCCTTATTCAGGATCTTGGGGAAAACGTGCAAGAACACAAGGAGAAATAAAAAGCTTTCTACTGAGGTACATTTTTATTCAACATCAAATTTGTGACTCTCATTCATTAATTAGAAGAGAATTGCAAAGGAACTATTCCTGGTAAATGTTAATCTCCCTAAAGAAATTAGGGTATTTGTGAGAATGTACTAAGAATATGGGTAGATGATACCTTCTTGTGAGAACAGTCCACAGATCTCTGGGATTCCATGCACTTTAACCCAAACAATGTGAGTCCTAGCTGAGAAACTCCTCTTTTTCGCATTGACCCAGCCTAGAATGTAGGCTCCTTTGCTGTGTGGCTCTTGGTGCCCTGGGAACAGTTAAGTCCTGGATAAGATGTAATAGCCCTTTCTGGGTTTACCAGGCATCAAACTGCAAGCCTTTCTATGTGATGACCATTTACCTCCTCCTCACCTCTGATTTTTTACTTCATGTCCTTTG